CATCATTACGACCACACATTACGACACAGAAAGAAGCACCAGACTTAAGAGCATTAGGTAAGTGCTGAGATAAAATCTGACCAGAAGTATACCCACCAGTAGCAGATGCACCAGCAAATCTCATTCTGCCTTTAGAAAGTAACATACCCCATACATGCCAAGACAAATCATTAAACGATTCGTACTTACGTGTAGAGTCGAAATAGGTTACTCCATTAGCTGTGATTGAATCACCGATAGCATAGAAATCACCATACGGTAATGCAGCTCGGTTATGGAGAATCTCCCCTAAGTACACTTTTCTACCATCAGCAGATAATGTACCAAACAGAGCTTTACCCATATTGTCTGTTTCTACATAGGCATAATCACCAATGCTGCTATCACTGTTAATGTTATATGGAGTAATGGTACGAACATTCATCTCAGCAAAGTTAACTTCATCAGTTACTTCCAGAGATTTAGTTTTAATACCGCCCGGCATTAAGTGCTTACCAGTATCATCAATGGCGTGAAGTAATTTAAGAACTACATCTACTACTTCGTAAGGATAGGTAGAATAACCTTGAGTTTTCAATCCATCAGTCCTTACAGTCACGTCATTAATTTCAGCAGCTTGTTTAACATATGCTGCATACCCTACTGTTTCTGCCACAGCTACCGCAGCGCCTGCATTGTTTAGGTAATACAGGAAAGCCATATCAGCACCAGTACCTTGAGGTACACGGAAATACTGACCAGAAGTAGTGCCTGCTAAACCAGCAGGAACATCAGCGAAGGTACGGTCATTTTCAGCAACCGACTCAGCTAAAGAAGCAGAGTTAGCAGCATCAGTCGCTGAGTTAGATGCATCCAGTGCATAAGCAGCAGACTGGCTTGCAGAGTTAGCAGATGCGATAGCAGCAGAATCCGCATTAGCAGATTTAGCAGCAGCATTCGCTTCTGATACAGCAGCATTAGTCTCAGAAGTTGAAGCAGCTTGTTCAGAGGCTAAGGCAGCAGCAGCACTAGCCGCAGCTTCAGCAGCTTTTGCGGTAGCTTCCTGCACAGCACTGAAAGCAAACAGGTCAATATCTTTAAAGGTAATTGGGTCTACACCCGGAACCAAAGCATATTGAGGACCATCTACCTGCCAAGCATCGCCTTGAGCAGAGAAGACTAAAGTCCCATCAACAACATCCAGTGGACCATCAAAGTCTACAGCACGAGTCCATGCACCAATCTGAACATTGTAGATACCATTCTCTACTGGATTGGTTTGACCCATAACCAGAACACGGTTACCAGTTACAGCAGCAACAGTGTAATCACCTGAGTGAGCAGACCAGCTAATAGTCTGGTTACCTGCCAGTGTGATAGGAGACATAGACACAATCTGTACCGGTGCCTTAACAGCAATATTAGTTGTTAGCCCGTATTGAATTAAGAATTCATACAGGTCATGCAAGAAGTCAAGATTGTCAGCAACAGTCTTAACATTGTCATAGGCAGAGTTGATATACTTCTCAATCAATCCTGCACTTGAATTGCAAGAGTTAACTGGAGGTGTAGACATTATACCCATCCTCTTAAGCAAGGTTTCACATTGGTAGAATTAAGGCTGGCATTATCTAAATCTAGTTCTTCGATTTTAGAGCACTCAGCCTCATATTTAACATTCCACTCCACACCCTTTTGAGTCGCTCCTTCACTAGGTAGCATTGAGTAAAAAGCAGCTGCTACAAAATAGCATAATGCTTTTACATGGCTTGCTGGAAGAACAACTTCAACAGTACTTGGGTCTGTAGTGTCAGTAGGAATCCAATCGTGATTAGCCCGGTACGTTACAAATAATGCATTGGTACCAATAGGTCTAATTACCTGAATACAATCAAAGGATGGTGTGAAGAGTTCGCAACACATTGCATCGTCGTTTAATGGTAATTCGCATCCTACTTCATTAGCTACACGTTCAACTCTAATTACATTCTCTTGGAATGGGTAGAATTGACTGTCCTCAATATACTTGTATTTCTCTTGAGAGTCTTGATTCGTCTGAGCAAATTGTCTTCTCAGATAGTAATGAGAAATGTGCTCATACATTTGAATGGTTACTTGTCCTTCTCTCAAAGGAAAGCGGGAATGCAGGTCAGTTAAACCAAGATTAATCTGGGTGATAACTTTAGGGTAATCTTTTGCTCTGATACCATTACCCGTATTCCCCACATTAAGTTGGTTTAACTCCCCTGTTGATAACATCTGAAAAAGGTCACTCAATTTCATAATGTGGTCTCAGTCAAAGGGTAAACATCCACCACATTATAAACAACAATCAGACGAGATAACTATCTATTCCATTGTCTGGAGAAGGAGTCGGCATATCCCATACGCTATCTTCTTGGATAGAACCTCCAGAAGCTTGTGAGGGCTTCCAAACCTTCAGACATGACAACATACTAATCGTATCAATAAAGTCGTCATGCTTTGATTTAAAGCCTTCTACAGTAGCCAATCGAAGCTCATCCATAGCTTCCAACATAATCTTCTCATCCTTCAGTTCTTCAGGGAAAAAGAACTTACCAGCTTTGAACCAAGGTAATACTGAGTTGAATCTCACCATCTTATTGGTATTAGGTCTGATACCTGGTTTGTTATTGTTTCCTTCAGAAGCAAAGTTAAACCAGATGTTCCTGTTCATCATCTCGTCACGTAACAAAGAGATGAATCCACCCTGTTGACCAGTAACTTCAATACCAACTGACTGAGGTTGGTACTCAACTACTAGTCTAAAGAGGTCATCAAAGTTCTTGTTCATCAATTGACGACGACAGATACCATCAACCCAGAACCAATCACCATTGCTATTGATTGCCCATACAGAAATAACTGAATAGTCAGCTGATTGCTTCTCGCTAGTAGCGAAGTCAGTGGTGATATAGAAGTTAAACATACCTCTGTTCAGTAAAAGAGACTTACGCTTGTACCATTGGATATCAGATTCCAGTACAAGCCTCTCTTCATCAGAGGTAATCCTCAACATCAGTTCCTGATTGAATGCAGCCACCTGTCCAGTAGCTACAGCAAGGTCATATTGGCTCTTAACGAAGTCATATGAGAAGCGGTCTTCCCAAGCACCTACAAAGTCTTCTCTCGCACAAGGGAATTTCTCACAAATGGGGAATACGTTGACGTACCAACCACCTGATTCCACTGCTTCATAAAGAATATCGTTCTTGTTAAAGGGTGTGCCACTGAAAACAATCTTTCTACGAGTAGGGTCCAAAGCATAATCAACACCTTTGTATACAGTATCCTTGATGGCCTGCATAGTTGACTTAGATTTAGCATCATCATCACTAACGAGGTCATCCAACACAGCCAAAACAGGACGTTTACCGAAGATTTTGGTACCACGTAAGCCAGTCTTAGCACCAAACATACGAACACCTAGCTTATGCCCATCAGCATTAGTAAATTCCATGTAGGCATCAGTAAATTTGGCCTCTGGAATGTACTTCTGAAGGAATTCAGAGTTGTTATAGCGGTATTCAATGTTCTTTCTTAATGATTTTACCCCATTCTCCATAGAGTCAGAGATATAAATCATACCTTCGATATCACCAAATCCATCAATCTCCCCATACAGGGCAATATATAGGACGAGATATTCACCAAACAGGGTAGTTTTAGCCATACCACGAGAGCAAAGATTAGCTAATCGAGTACGTTTACCTGCCAATTCATCAAGCATCTTAAGATGAACTACTGGAGTAAGGTTAGATTCCCCACCTTCACCATTAACCAACTTGATAAAGTTGACATAGTTAATAGCGAATACAGAAGGAACATAGTTATTACCATTGAGGGCTGCATAATCAACTGAGTTAAGCCACTCCTCAACAGACTGTTTAACCATTGGGTCTTCTTTATTCATCGACACGTTCTGATTCTCCATCAATTGTTAACTTGGAATGAGCAATTTCTTGAGCACTGTAAGAACCACCCTCAATGAGTTGGCGCTGCTTCGCAGCTAATTTAGAAGTAATCTCCCTAAGCTCACTAATTACTCCACCTTCCTGAAGACCTACGTTTAATTCAATCTTGTTGGCTTCTGGACGTTTCAAATGGTTAAGTAATGAGTTAGCTGCATCCGTTCTAACCTTTTCACTCTTAGCATTCAACATTAAATCAGCCTGTACGTTGATTGCTTTCTGAAATACATCAGCATTCAGAACATGGGTAGGAACCAAAGTCTGTTCATAGATAAGGTTAACCAGCTTGTTCTTGTTGTAAGCAGATACGTAGCAGTGAATATCTTTGGCAGGAACATTATTATTTAAGAAGTTTTGGTATCGGTCAGGGAATGTTTTAATGTATGACTCAAAGTTAGTGCATCCCATTAACTTGAAACTCACATACTTCACTGCGGATAAATAATCATCAATCTTAAATCTACCTTCCTTCATCACATGGGTGTAGGACATAAGATTATCTCTTAATACTTCACCCATCATGGGGTCTGAAAGTACCTGATTAATCTTATCCATTAACTCTTGGTTAATATTTCCCTTGTGATTTGAAGGCATTACAGCTTTAAACTGTTCAATACTAAGTTGAGTAGACATAACTATCTCCAAGATGGTTTACAATTAGAATATAAGTAATATATAGTAAATCCCGCAGAGAAATGAAGATACTTAGATGAGAGGCGTGCTAGGTTGTAACGGACTCATTATCCAATCTGCAACTTAAACTTATGGCGTCAAACATTTGTTAAAGATGGTACGTCTCTCTTCTAAGCACCTTCGGTGCTTTCTTTGGAAAAATTGAAATGCTTAATCGCATGGTATCTTGTCAGCAACTATGAAATCCGATGTAGGCATACATCGAGAAAGGTAATTCGAGTGGGGTTGGCCCATACCAAGTAGTAGCCAAGTGACGTACCACTAAGCCGTGCTAACCGGATAAAATGTGGGGAAATAAAAGTGGTCCCCTAAAGATATCAGTCGATTAAGTATTTAGGATTGTTAACTCAGTTGGTTAGAGTATCTGACTTTTAATCAGAGAGTCGAAGGTTCGAGTCCTTCACAATCCACCAAACAATGTGAGTGTGGCAGAGAGGCCGAATGCGGGGGACTGTAAATCCCTTCTGAAAGGCGCGGTGGTTCGAATCCATCCACTCACACCAAGGTTATGTAGCTCAGTGGTTGAGCACCCGACTCATAATCGGAAGGACGTTGGTTCAAATCCAGCCATAACCACCAAATTGTCTCATAGCTCAGTAGGCCAGAGCGCACCCCTGATAAGGGTGAGGTCATTGGTTCGATTCCAATTGAGACAACCAAACAATAACCGAAAGCCAGAATCCCAACGGGAGAGGTAATAGGTGAGTCCCGAAGCGAGCGGGTATCTGCCTCAGATGTAGAGTAAACATTGACAGTTGAAATAGACAACTGACGCTGGGAAGAATAGCCAGAGACTTAGAGATGAGTAGCATAGCGGCCTAATGCACTACCTGTACCTCTATAGTAGGTACGGAGACAAGACAGGAGTTCGAATCTCCTCTCATCTTAAGTTCTTATCAGGGATTACTTATTGTTTTAAACACATACCTAACCTCGCCGGGTGGCAGTGTTACCCCATGATAAGTAATCCACTAATAAGAATTTCTCCGTATAGCTCAGTTTGGCAGAGCATCTGGTTTGGGACCAGAGGGTCCGAGGTTCAAATCCTCGTATGGAGACCAATTTAGGAAGATAGTGCTCATGGGAGCAAGCAGACTTGAAATCTGTCGCCACCGGAAACGGTGAGGGTTCGATTCCTTTATCTTCCGCCAATTTGATGAGATAGCTAACTCGGTAAAGCGGCAGACTGTTAATCTGTGATATTAGGGTTCAAATCCCTATCTCATCGCCAAATTGAGCAACATGATTGTTAAAACTCTCTGCACCTACGGGGGTGTGAAGTGTTCAGTGATTTCCGGTACCGTTATCACAAGTGGCACTTGGCATAAGATGTAGTTCGCACCTACATATGCTTCGGGGGAATTACGGCAGTAATTACTATCATGTTGTTCATCTAAACTCACAGAATAATCTGTGACCCGTGACCGGTCGGTATGTTTATTGATGTTCCTTAAGGTCAGAAGCTTCTTACCTACATCCAGCATCTTTAAATGAATAACTGGTAGTCCAGCCTATGCGCACGAAAATGGGGACCCTCACCATTGGACGAAACGAGGGATAAAAAAAAAATCCCCACAAGGGGGATTTCATTCATCATCAAAATCATCATCATCTGGTGGTTTACGTGATGGAACTGGTATCTCCATGATAATTCCCCTTATATGTTTTATACATCTGTAATACATACTGTATTACTTGATACCCTTCAGATGTTTTAAGGAATGGAATAATTTCATTTAAGTTATTCTCTAACCATTCTTTATCAGAATCACTGAGAGAAGACTTAATAATACTAAATACGTCAATAGCAAAGTTACTAGCTGAAAGATACTTACGAACACAGGTATCTACCATCTGATAAATTTGTTCTTCTGTAGGAATCTGCGGTGTATTCCGCTCCATAACCAATCTATCTACTTGCTCTAGCTGAGCACGTAGTTGTTGCTGAATAGTATATAAGTCGCTCATAGACACCTCTAAAATAAGCCCTCTTACGAGGGCTATAAATTAACGATTAACTTGGGTAGTAGTTGGAGTCTGAGTACCAGATGCCAGCATAGTTCCTAAATTAAGGATATCTTGATTAGAGCGATTACTGTTTACAGCAATACCATTCAGAACACCAAACAGACCATTCAACTGACTCTGTACCTGAGTCTGGAATTGAGCTTGTGCCTGCTGCTGATTGACTTGCTGAGAAACATTAACTTCCACTTCTCTAATACGAGAGTGATTGCGCTCTTCTGCTTCTCTGGCTTGAGCTACTCCAAGCTGACGTTGCAAGTCCATAATAGTGTTATTATCAATCTTACTAGACAATCCGTTGATAGCAGTCAGAATAGATTGAGTATTATTATTGCCTGCTTGAAGCAGTGCTGTACCAGTAGTAGTAACTGCATCTCTTGTATTATTATGTGCTACTAATTGAGCAATATTATTCTGATTCAGAATATTAGATAGGGCATTGGTTTGCTCTAAAATTGAGTTCTGTACTTCACAACTACCTAGAGGTACAGCACCTTCCAGAGTACCTAATTTGGCTAATACTTGGTTCAGTGTTAACTGATTAACGGCATCGCCTCCCCCACTACCGCAGTCGCCGTCACCACCAAAAATACCGCCACCATGACGTCCACGTCCAAGCAGAGCCAGTAAGAGAATAGGCCAAATATTATTAATTCCATCATCATGGCGACGGTCTCCCATCATAGCCATAAGGGGCACCAGATTAGATGAATCATCATTACGATTGCCCAATGCAGCGATTAATGCCGCGTGGTCATTACCTTGGTTACGTTGACCTAGGGCAGCAACTAGAGCAGCCATTTCAGCGCCACCAGTTGAACGACCTTCACCAACGTTGATATTTACTTTATCTGAAATGTTATCCATACCCATTTTGGAATCCTCATATTCACTATTGGGTTTACTTGGAATATTTTTCTTTAAATATTCCAGGTTCTTAACATCGCTATACTCATGTTGGGCTAGTTCTTTTGAGACTTTTTCAATGGTATCCTGAAGAGTCTTTAAAGAAGCGTCTCCATGTTCCATAAGTTCACCTCTGAGATGAATCTTTATAGGCATCAATACCTACATAAAAATATTGATTCATCTTTCTAAGGACGGATACATAGAGGGATTAATGTTATGGATAAGCGTTACTGTCCCAAATGTGGTACTCTTCAGTTTCGCTGTACTGAATGTGGTTGTTGGTTCACGAAGAAAAGAAAAGACCAAGTTTTATGTCAGCCTAGATGTAGGCAAAGGAAGTTACGTAGGCTAAAGCAATTGCGTCCTTAGCTCAGCTGGATAGAGCAACGGCCTTCTAAGCCGTAGGTCACAGGTTCGAATCCTGTAGGACGTACCAAGGATAGTTGGCAGAGTGGTAATGCAGCTGAGTGCTAATCAGTAGACTGGAAACGGTCCATAGGTTCGAATCCTATACTATCCGCCAAGCTCGCTAAGTTCATATGGGTGAACGCCTGCCTTGTAAGCAGGATGGACGCGGTTCGATTCCGTGAGTGAGCACCAATGTGGGTATGGTGAAATTGGTAGACACAAGGGATTTAAAATCCCTCGCTTAATCGCATACGAGTTCGAGTCTCGTTACCCGCACCATTCAACTTAAAGGAAATCCCAATGCGCTATTTAAAAGTTAATCCGATGGCTCCAAACCGTCAGGAGTTTCGTGCATCAATGTCCCGTAATCGCCGGAAAGAAGTGAAATCCAAAACAGCTAAACGTATGGACCGTCCACATAAGCAAGAGCTTATCGACAACGGCTATAACAAGCTGATGGCTTTCTTCTTCCCTGGCTTCTGAATACCTGCGCAGCCCGCTGGTATGCCTGAGTAAACGACTGAACGGAGCTATCAACTCCACGCGCTATAGTTCAGAAGTCTACCAAGCCTCCCTGTTCTTGCTAGTCAGGGTTACCAAAACTAGCTTTTTTCATTTCTATTTTCCCAAAATAACATCTGAGAGAAACCAAAATGTCTGAGACTAAAAAAGTCATTACTGTTGCTGACCGTTCAACTAAAGCACTGGTTGTAGCAACTACTGGTCTGGCTAAAATCGCCTCTGACCTGTCCGCTCTTTCTGACAGTACTGTCAAACTGGCTGACGATATCGAATTCAAACAGTCCCAACTGGACAACCTAAATGTCGAATTCGACAACAAATTCCGTGAAAGTGCTGCTCAATTGCGTCTGCGCGTACTGGAAGATGAAGACGCTGTTCTCATCGACCTACTTCAAAGACGTGGCTTAGCCCACGTTAAAGTTACTGTTCTTAACGAACTGGAACGTAATCTGGAAAGTGCACTGGCTGATAACAGCCAAGCTGTTGCCGAAGCTGAAGCTAATGGCTTCCGCAAAGGTGCTGCTGAATTCCAGCACAAAATGAAAGACGCTGAAGCAGCACATCGCATTCAGACTGCCGAACTGACCGCCAAATCTAACGCGAAAGACGACCGCATCGCTCTCCTGATGGAACAGCTGGAAGAAGCTCGTGGTCAGATTAAAGCTGAACGTGAAACTCGTCTGGCTATCGCTGAAGCTGATTCTAAGCGTCAGGGTGTTGTTCTCAACACCGGTAAGTAATAAACTCAGATTGTCGTACTCCTACTACGGCGATTGGGATAGCAAGCTGGCTCTGCTTAAACCAGCACACAACAGGTAAGAACACTGACAGGTGGATGTTCGTAGCGCTGCGTAACTTTAGATGGGTTCGAGTCCCATACAGTGTTCTTTCCGTTGTGGGGGCCAAAGCCAACAACGCCGAAACTGCCATAGTTTCAATAGAGTATCTATACAGGCAGCGCCTGTTATGTATCGAAGACTTAACAGTTAGAGATACCAGAGTACTAGAACTCTGTTACCGAACTCAGGGACTTGCTGGCCTAACCAGCTCAACATCCTATCAATGAGCACATTACAGAGCCTCTCAACTCAGCAAAGTGTACGGCCAATACACTAGCGGGTAGTGTGCTCTTTGATAGTTTTCGTAAGCGATTATGCGGTTTTTTAGAAACGAACCAAAAACATAAATGCAAACGATGATGTTGTTCTGATGGCTGCTTAATTGCATACCCATTAGTCAGGAGTGAGTCGTCCTGATTACCAAACGACCGTGGAGTGTCCCCGTCCGTGTATTAGAAACGGGGAACCAATCTGAATAACTCTATAAGTGTATTACTTAGTATATTTATAGAGATGTTCGCTGCATCTCGACCCTGCATTGCTAAACCCTTTGCCCCCTTTCCCACGGGGGCTTTTTTATTCCCATTCCCGCCTTACGCTTACGCGCTTCCTTCGCTCACTACGTTCGCTCGGAGCGCTTCGCTTCAGGCTAGTAGGAGACACTTAATGACTACCCCTTGTGAAAATTTAGGTTATACCGAAGGCATGGAGTTCATCGTTTGTGACGATACAGATAACTTCGATAGTAATACTGAAATATGGTTACATGACGATGATGGGAGTGATTGCCCAGAATTCAGAGATACAGAAAGTTCCGATGATTATGACACACTGGAATATCTAACACTTCGTAATGTAGCGCCTGCCATTGCTGGTAAGACACCTGTTCAAGCTCGTGGTTTTAAACCGGGTGATATCTTCATCCTGAATCGTGATGACGAAGGTGAAGAAGCAGATGAAGGAACAATCCTTACTCTGGTCAGAGATGATGGCTCTATCTGTCCTGTCTTTGAATTTGTTAATAGAGATGGTGACCAAGTATCTGGTTACTTCTACTTAGGTCAACTTAACTATCTTGAACCTAAAGTAGGCCGTAAAGTTCGTATTATTCATAATCGTACTGGAGGTCATGACTCAGGTGCAGAAGGTATCATCAGAGATATTGATTCAGATTCTTTAGGAATTACCTGTAATGGAACTACTTTTTACCACAGTGTCGAATCCTGCATAGTATATGACTATTCAGCAGATGAAGAACGTCCGAGTAATCCAAACGATACTGGATTAAAGTGCAAAGTCACTTGGCCTACTAAACCAGCTGACCAATGGAAGGAAGGTGATAAAGGTATCGTTCATGGTCAACAAGCCAGAGATGAACATAACATCGCTATTGGTGATGTAGTTACCTTTGTCGGTGAAAGAGATGATGAAAGAGGATTCTTTAAATCTGAAAACTATCATCGTCGCCAGAACATTGACTATCGTCTGATTGAACCAATTGAAGTAGCAGTTGAAAAGATTGAGATTGCTATTGTTGGTGTTGATAAAGAACAGCCTGTTGCTTGTATCAAAGCTATCCGCACAATTGCAGGAATTGGTTTAGCTGAATCTAAAGACTTATTTGAAAGAGTACGTGATGGAGTTCCTGAAACTATTATCACCACTAAGTCATTAGATGAAGTCACCAAAGTATTTGGTGAAGCGGGCATTAAGTTCTTTAAAGGTGAAACTGTATGTAAAGCCGCTCCTCAATCAGAACTTACTCCTTCTGGAACTCTTTCTGAAACTAAACAGACTTCTTCTAAGTACATGTACTTCGTTGAAGGGGATTCCATTGAAGTAACTTTAGTTGGATACTTCGAAGG